CGTGTACAATCACTGAAGTGGGAACAATAGGTGGCTCAGATCTCAGCGCTTGCAACTGTTTTTCAACAGGCAGTTCAGTGCGATGTGGGTGCAGCTGGAGCCGGCTGATCCTTTCGATGGAGTGAAGTGATGCACCGGGCTGACAACAAACAGCTACACCAAATAAAATCCATTTTTATGTGGCACTGAGGAAGAGACATACCCATTGTGATGGTTCTCGGGGTACTCCCTTCATCTAGCTTGAGAGAGGCTTGCCTGTGGTAGCAGGGGTGTCATCTCCCTAATATCATCAGCCTTTCAGCATTCAAGCCCTCTCCTCTGCTTTCCTAGCCCTGTGTTCACCTGGCAGCAAACAATAGATTGCTCCCCAATCCCTTTGAATCATTCTGTGATATCCTGCCCCTGACTCTGGTTACTCACAGAAATCCCAGATCCTTTGCCCCCAAAAAGCAGAGTACCCCTATTTATCAGTTTCACCTTACACCTCACTCCTGCTAGACACACAGCACTTGTAGTGAAACCAATGAAGGTTTATTTAAGAGAGGATAGAGATTCTACTAGAAACAAGAGGGAGGGGTGGAAACAAATGGTTGCAATACAAAACAAAACCATGAAACGCGAAACTGGGCCGACACTTATGAAGCGTCACCTTTCCCGTCTAACAAAGCAGGATTTCCCGCCAAAGTTCAGCCTGTTGACTCCCTGTCTCCTGTCCTGATGACTGGACCATAGTCTTACACTTAAAGGACCTAGCCTTATTTCTAAGGTACCAGTGATTTTTTCATAGCGGAAGATTGTAATTCAAGATCACATTCAAGACTTAATGCATATTTTACTTTATGAATGATGTATATGTACTGTGATACAATGCACATTCTTCCGGGTTTATTTAGATTGAATTAACTTGTTTGTTTGCTTGTCAGTTCCATTTAGTCAGATCTTGCTTATGAAACTGACTGTATCTAAACACTTAAAAAAAATGTACAGCAGATATTCTTGAAACATTTGCCCCCACAACTTAAAAACATGCCTGGAAATTCTTTAGCAATTGATTACATGGTTTTGTTTAAAGTAGGGAAGCAGGTACCCTGCCACTATTTCATTAGCAGGAAGCCATGCAACAGGCAGGCAAAGTTGTGGGAAAGATCTTTACGTAACGTATGCTGAGTGGCCAGTGTTACATGATGGGCGCTCGAGAGTTTGTGTGCCAGCAGTCTAGACTCAGCACCCTCCATTTCTGAACCCTCTGGTGCGATACTGAAGTAGGGCCCTCCTGAAATCTCACCTCTTGCTCCAGTTCCACTCATCATACTACACCTTTTTTAGCTGCATCTCAATTACTCTGTCTGTAGACGCAAAGGTCAGAAGTGCTTTGAGCTTTGTAAAAAAATATGCTATTGAGAAAGAGAATGTGGCAGGCCGGGCACACAGTAGATTATCGCAGTTTGAACCATGATGGAAGTGCATAGAAGTCAGCTTTCTCCTACGGAAGACCCGGTGATGGGAGCTTGAGGCTTATCTCTTTACCAGCTGTGTTTGCTGCTTGCAGTGAAGGATGAAGAGACAATGAAGAATGCCTCAACCCAGGAGCAGGTTTCAGTGGAAGGGATGGTTGAGTCAAGCAAGTTAAAGTTTATGGCTTCCTCTTGTGCCTGAGAGAATTCAGGCGATCTAGACCAGTTTCCTTGCATTAAACCTTAATAGTAGGATGGCCAGGTGCTGAACAAATATGTGAGCATCTGGGAATAACTGTCTGGGTTAAGGAGAAGAGAATTATTTTCTTCCACAGTGCAGAGGTAGAAAATCATTCTGTGAAAGACTAAAGCTCTTTCTTAAAAGACATTGGATTAGATTTTCAAAGGTATTTCAGTGCCTATATTATCAGATAGCTGTCTAGTGGGATTTTCAAATCACCTAACCAGGTTGGGTGCTTACCTCCTATTGAAGTCAAGGATTAGTAAATCTTTACTACTAAACCTGCCAAGAGATTCAAATAGACAAGCTAAAGGAAGTGACTAGAGACTTACTTAAGTCAGACAAAGAAAGGAATTTGTAAGGCACCTGGCCAACTGAGCTCATGATGGTGCAAGAAACGTCAACCTATCACTATAAGCCACACTAGAGTTGAGGGCATCTCTATTTCTTTAAAGCCAAGGCCACAAAACTCAATGGGTAAGTGGCAAGAAGAGCTTTCCAACATCAGGAACCAGTACACCGTTACAGTCCTCTCCATTGTCTCAGCATGGTTAGACAGATCCTGAAACTAAACGTTTGCAAGACAATCATCCTGTGACCCTTGGAAAAGAGTCAAAACCTCCGGCTTACTGAATTTGTTTAGGTTTTGGCAATAGCAGAGGCCAGCATGCTCAGGGACAACTTCCAAAGAAAGAAGGGAAAACATGGACCAGAGAGCCAAGCCCTTGTCATCGTTACTGATATCACAGGACCGAGTTGCTACTTTGGTGGCTAGATTAGAGAAGTGCCCTACAAATTATTTATTGATTAAAAACCTCTGGAAACTACCGGGAGAACGTTCTCATTGGGTAAGGTTTTCAAACGTACCTAAGTCCCATTTTTAAAGTCATTAGGGCTTAGGCTGCTAAAGGATTTAGGTGCTTTGAAAATGGGGCTTTGGGTCCTAAGTCACTAAGGTCTAGATCAGCAGGTCTCAGCTAAAGGGCAGGCCTCCCAAGGGAGGCGCAAGCTGTGTGCTCGATTGATTGATTTTCTTTGGAAGAGCTTTGGCTGTCAGCCTGGGGTGGCTGGGCTGGGGCTCGTGCACAAGGGCCGTGCACACCCGAGTGATGGGGATAAAGACGATGGCTGGAGCCCCACCACCCTTTCGGAGGCCTTCCTTCCCCTCTGCCCCCATCCCTCACTGGAAGGCCGCCCAGGCTCAAGTTCTGCTCCCCCCACCCCCAATCCCTGGCGGCAGGGTGCCGGCTCTCAGCCCCGGGGCGGCAGCAGCAGCGCAGAAGTAAGGGTGGCAATTGGGCGCTAAGGCCACTGTGAAAGTGCTACTGACGACTACAGACACAAAGAAGGGGGGAGGGGGGCATAAAATAAGTTTTAGAGCCACTGATCTAGATCCTTCAAAGTCTTTAGGTGCTTAACTCTCATTGACGTGAATGGAAGTCAGGCCCGTAAGCACCTTCGAGGATCTGGCCCTTAGACACTTTCTTTCAGGTGTTTAAGGAGTGGTAGTGAATCAAATGGGAACAAAGAGAACAAATTGTCCTTCAAGATCTATGAAATTGCTCTCAGTTACTTACTGAATTATCCCCTGGTACGTTAGTCAAACGGCTCTAATAGGTGACAGACATTCTCACAGAGAATGAGGACACCCTAGATTTCAAGAATAGCACAATTGTACAACAGCACCGAGAAATATTTTCCTCTTCGCGACCTAAAAAAGAACAGCCGTTGTCAGATAACGGCAAGGCAAGCTGTGGTTATCCAGGCCAGACGCAAACTCTTCTACTAGGCAAGATAAATGGGGTTGGATACTTTTTTTCCTGGAGATTCAAGGGCGCATATAGCAAAAGAGTCACCTGAACTTCTCTTTACAGCGGTCGGCATTGTATGTACAGCTGTAGGTGTGACAGCACTGCTCCATCTGCAGAACACACCGCATGCCAGTTGTCTGACCGAGGGTAAGCTGGGAAGGAGCTCCATTAGCGCGAGAGAAAAAAAATGAACTGCTCTCCTTATATTTCTCTTTCGTCATGCTGAATACTGATGAGGCACTATTTAGTACAACCCCCAGGCAGTCCTTTCTGAGTATTAAATGCTGGTACCAAATGTATGACCTTTGCGAGAACTCTGTTTTCTCAGGTTTCCCAATGACAGGGCAGGTATTTTTCTAGCCTGCTCTGGAATTTAAGAAGATTGAGTAGCCCACTTGCTGATAGCTAAGTAGCCCTGGTGTGTTTTTGTTTTGGTTGTGGGAAGGTGGATGGTGGATTCTCTGGCAGGAGAGGTGCTGGAGGATTGGGAAAAATAGGATTTGAACTAAAAAGGGGGTAAATGAAAGGAGCAAAACAAAACACAGCATCAGGCCAAACCCTGACTCAACCCCACCTCCCACAAGGTGGGTGCTAGCTGATGTACAGGTGGGACTTGGATCCCTTGAGCAGAGTTGGATTGAGCATGGCCAGGACTTGCAACCTTAGAAGGCTGAAGTTGAAGCACTTAGGGTGGGATTTCAGAAGTGCTCAGCATCGGCCTCTCTCTTCTCCCATTGAAGTCAACAGTCAAATGCCCACTGACGTCCGTGGGAGCAAAGCTAGGCCAACCCAGTGTTCTTCTGAAATCCAGCCCTTAAAGCCACATGGAGACACGTAAAGAATTGGCTTGTTTTTTCCAAGCTGCTGTACACCTTCAACTCCCATTGAAATCGATCTCTGGCCCATCGCACGTGTGCACGGATGTTATTGATTGATTTTGGTTTGGTTTGGCTTGCTCTTGCACACTTGCTGGTGCAAGCCCACAATGCATTGCACCGGGAGACTGAAATAAGCGAATTTGTTCTACTTGCAAATAGCAGTTAGAGTATAACCATTTCTAGATCAATGTGGTTCTGATTATTTTAAAATCTTTTACTTCCTATTGCCGGCTCCTTTAGCAGAGTCTATGCCCATCTGATTACAATTTGTCTGGGTGAATTCACTTCTGTGTGGCTTTTGAACTCTCTGTAACTAGGACTCCAGATTTCTGGGAGTTTCCCTGAGTATTTATGGCTTCAGAGTGACAGAGAGAATTTGAAAATGTGAATCTGCTGGGGGAAGGGGGGCGATGGTTCTTGCTGCAAAGACTCAGAAGTACATTACAGGATTCACACATGCTTTAGAGAGCAGTTTATCATTTTCAGGAAGACGGCAGCAAGTTGTTCACTACAGGTGATATTGGAGCTATCTAGCAGTATCCCACAGACTCACATGGAAAAAATATTTCTGCTCACCCACTAAAATGTTCTCTGTCCTCTTTCACTTTGCTCACAGAATTTCATCCAGGTATCCCAGTATTGGGCCCAGGAACTTGCGTGTAACTAAGGCACACCTTGCAGAAAGGCATCCAGTCCTGATTTGAAGACATCAAGATGGGGAATTCACCCCTTCCCTTGGTAGTTTGTTACAATGGTTAATAAACCTCCTGGGTAAAAGGTTGTGCCTTATTTCTAATTTGTATTTGTCTGGCTTTGATTTCCAGCCGTTGGTTCTTGTTCTGCCTTTCTCTTCTATATTAAAACGCCCTTTAGTACCTGTTCTTTCAAATATGCCCATGCTTGCTTTCAGACTGGTTAGTTACAGTGGGGCAGCACTGGAAAACAGGGTGGCTTTACCGGAAGAGGGATCTTTTCTAAGCCAAGTGTCGGGCTTGTTCTGAGGCCTGAGTCTACTACTCAGTTTGTTAAAGATGCCAAGAAGTAGCGCCGCCAAGAAGGCAGTGAGTTGTTGGGAGTCTCACAATGCATACATAGCTCTCAGGAGCCAGAACCGAGCTCGGGTAAGCGATTGCTGTTGATGTACCACGGGACAGCTGTACCAGCTTTTTGCTAGAGAATGGGACAACTATACTTGCATACCACATTGGAGACGTTCAGGGCACGTTACACATCAATTAACTAAGCCTCACAACACACCCTTGAGGCCAGTTAGTATCTAGTCCCATTTTACAGCTGGGAAAACTGAGGTACACGCTAACGTGACTTGTTCAAAGTCATACAACTAGTGGAAAGTAGAACACAGCACCCCGACCTCCCCAGTCCCCCTGCTGCTCTAACTACTAGGAAACACTGCTTCCCCATACAAACACTCCAGGATAGTAAGTGCATCCAGTAAGCGTTGGTTTTGTGGGCAGCAGTAAGCCATGAGATGAAACAATGGGCTTTAGGGGCAAGCTGCTCAAAGAGAAAATGGTATGAGAATCCTTGGTGGACCTCAGTTTAGTCCTTGGGGACCTGGACAAATATTGCAGGGTTGGATAAATATTGCAAAATAAATTCATGGCCATTCGTGTGTCACTCAGAGCTAGTCAGACGAGATGCTCACAGTGGTCGTGTCTGGCTTTGGAATTGCCGAATAGCTGCAGTAGTAGCACATCGCTGTGGGTAAAATGTGTGCCCCTAGATAGGGCCAGCACACGCCCAATTCACCGTGTAAGTGCCACTTACGTCCTCTAGTCAGTTGAATAGACTTTGGGGAAAACTGCAACCACTTGACCAAAATTACATTGCTACTTCCACCTGTGTCATCACCAATGCCAAGTGCCACCCCAGGAAGCAGTTTTGACTTGTTTAGCATGGCGGGTCTGATGATGCAGTACAGAGCCAGTGACAGTGGGAGTGTGTCATGAGTTGGTTCTTCTGCCACCTGTTGCCAATTATTTTTATGGGCCTGTGTCATCGTAATCATGCCCCTTTCAATGACACATAGGCCACATGCAGAAGCAGTGGGAATGCCTTTCGGGATGCAACCGAAGCTTGACTTGGAAGACTAATCAGCTCTTTTCAGGGCACTAACTAGTGACGAGTGGTTGTACAGTTACCGTGCTTTATAAACCACAGGACCGGCTCTAGGCACCAGCAAAGCAAGCATGTGCTTGGGGCGGCCCATTTCCAGGGGCGGCATTCCAGTTGTGGGCCAGGCTGGCTGGGTGTTGCGCAGCAGCAGGGCAGGCAGGGCCAGCAGCCAGCGCGCGGGCAGCGAGAGCAGCGTGGGGGCGCACGATGGCCAGGTAGCGTTGGAAGCTGAGGCAGTCCAGGCAGAAGGCGGAGGCAAACATGTTGAGCAGCACCAGGTAGCTGCTGAACTTGCCCAGCGCCGAGCCGAAGGGCCAGTGGAAGCGCAGCGCCGTGTAGGCGGCCCACAGCGGCAGGGTCACCGATGTAGGGGTCGGCGGAGCGGTGCCTGGCCCGCGGGCCCCGCCACACGGTGACGATCACCAGCCTGTTGCCCGACAGCCCCAGCACAAAGACCAGCATGTGGAGCACGGGCAGCAGCGAGAAGGACACCTCCCAGTCCGCTGGCCACTTGCACTGCACGCCCGGCCTGCTCTCATTCGCCTCCCCGTAGTAATAGTAGGGCTCGCCGCCCAGCGGGTCTGCGGCTCCATGGCCCTGCACTGCACCCCACTGCTGCCGCCCGCCGCCTATAAAGGGGGCTCCTGCCATTGCCCCCCACCCCCCTTGCGGCGCGCCCAGAGACCCACCCCTGGCTGCCGCTCTGCCAGCCCAGCCCGCCGGGGCTGTCCCGGGCCAGGGTCTTGCCCTCCAGCCCAGGCACACCCCGGTCCAGAATCCCAGTCCCTGACCCAGGCACATCACTTCTCCCCACTGTCCAGAGTCCCCCCACCCCCTGCCTCCCAGCATAGAGCAAAGGAGTGGGGGGCTAGCTCAGTGGTTCGAGCATTGGCCTGCTAAACCCAGGGTTGTGAGTTCAATCCTTGAGGGGGCCATTTAGGGATCTGGGGCAAAATCAGTACTTGGTCCTGCTAGTGTAGGTAGGGGGCTGGACTCAATGACCTTTCAGGGACCCTTCCAGTTCTAGGAAATAAGTATATCTCCATATATTATTTATTATTATATTGAAGAGAGACAGAAAGGGAACCGGGGGGGGCAAATGGAATCGCTCCAGACCCCACACCGGGGGAGCCAAAACAAAAAAACACATTGCTAAGTGGAAATGTGTAAAAGCCAAAGAAAAAGGGGGGGGGGGCAGCAAAAAACCTAGAGCCGGCCCTGATAAACCATTACGTTTGACGAGTTCCCTGGTTTGACGAGTTCCCTGGTTCCCGCCCCGCCTTGAATGAGTGGCTAAGTATCACTGGGAGGACTTTACATTTAATCAGGATGCTAGCTGGAGCCGGTACCCACAATTAAGACATGGGCTTTTCTTAGGCGCACATCCCACCCCTTTTATCTAGGACTCATGCTGAACTTGCTGCCTGTTTTCTTAACTCTACATGCCACTGAGGTCTTTCAGTTGGGATGCCCCAGCCCAGGCCGCAGCGCAGACATGCATGCTATGGTCACTTTGGGTGGCCCTTACCAGAGGAGAGTCGGTTTAGTTATAACCGGTCCAAGAAGACAGCAGCTGAAACAACAATTGAGACCAAAAAAAAAAAGAACGGAAATAATTTCTGAGCAGCTGTTTAAATGAATTGTAATTAGGGCTGGAATAAAATGAAGGGGGTGGGGAGCTGATAAAATGGGTACTAATTCTGGGCTTGGCTTGACTGTCTTAGCATCATATACCTGATCAGAGTTTTAGCAAAAGGGATGCCAGGCTAGCCTAGCGCTGCTCATACAGCTGGCAAAGCGTCCAAAGAAAGCGATGGCGCGTCTTTTGGCAAAGGCAATACCCTACGCCTTTAATAACGTTTCATGGCCATTACACTTCTGAGCCATAAACATTGCACCTTTTAAGGTAACCAGCGTGCCAGCACCCTTTCTTTGCTGGGGATGTGAACGTTAGTAACTGCAAAGCGATAGCAAAGACAATAACTCTCTAAGTGCACTTGTGTTCCCACAGGGGCTCAGAGACTAGCCACTGCTGGTGCAGCGGAGCCCAATGGTTACAGAGCAGAAGGTTACAGGTTTGTAGCACCAGCGTCCTAGTTCAGTGGGGTTGTCAGACCCGTTTAATCATGCCCCACGTAGGCTAACAGAAAGCATTAATAGTTTTCTCATGTATAGTGGATGCGCGATAGCAGCCCATCCCAACCCTGTGGTTTCCCCCATGTGCTACGTTTTGTATATGCTTCGTCACTGCCCAACAGTGTCGTCTTTTACAAACTGAAGCACACTCCCTTCAGCAAGGGCTGAACTCAGAGAAGGGCAAAGCCGTGCGGCACATCTCCCATCTTCCTCCAGCCAGCCCACACGCTTCCTTTTGTATGGTTGAAAACAACACAGGCCTACAGCAAAGCTGGGTGGCAGCTGAACCACGGCACGTACGGCGCCCGCCTTGAGGCCAGCCTGTTTTCTTGGCGACACCGCGGCGTTTGACGCGCTGAAGCTGGGACTGCTTGAACGGTGAGCAGTGAGACGAACAGGTCCGGATAGTAGGTTCATATGGAGAGAACCCAAAGCCCATTAACGAGGGTGACCATACAGCCCGTTTTGGCTTGGACAGGTCCTTTTTTTAAGTCCTGTCCCAGCCATCCTGGCAAGAGCAAACGGGACAAATGCCCGTTTTGCCAGAAACATGGGGTGAGGAGGAATGTGTGGGGATGGGGGGGGGGGGGCGGAGCAAGCAGCTCTGCTAGCCCTGCGGGGTGGGGGGGGGGGGCAGGACTCACACCCTACCATTAACAGATGTGCCAGATGAAAGGAAATTGGATTGTTGTACTCAGCAGAGGAGAGGCCTCCGGTGGAGTACGGTGTCCAGGGGCGATGGAGTCTTCCTAAAAGTGTCTGTCTGTTGGGGGGAGGGACAGGAGGCCCCGCTAGGGTTGCCAACTTTCTAATCCCTGAAAACCGAACATCCCTGCCCGACCCCTTCCCCTGAGACTCCACCCTCCCGCCCCCCAGTCACTCACTCTGCCATCCACTGGGACTCACTTGCCAACTGCAGAGTCGAGCTAGGAGGAGCAGACGCGACGCCGGCCCACCTGCCCAATGGGGGCACAACGGAGCATGGCAGGGGTCAGTTCCCTGAGCAAGGGGCTGGAGAGGGGAAATCAGGCAGAGCAGAGCTGGGAGGGGCACAGTGGGGTGGAGGGGGTGGGGGATCTGTTCCTGGAGTACAGGGCCAGGGAACTCAGGGCACAGCTGGGCGGTGGGGGAGGTGAGGGTCCAGGCAAATTGGGCCACAGCAGGGTGTGGTGGGGAGGGCAGAGTGAGAGGCTGGGCTAACTGGGGCACAGTGGGGCAGGGGTGGTGTGTCTGTCCCTGGAGCAAAGGGCTGGGCTAATCGGGCACGGCGGGGTGTGGGGTGGTAGATAGGTTATCCCCACTGTCCGGGAGCAGCCAGTTCTCTCCGTCAGGCTGGGGGGTGGGTGGGGAAGAGCCGCAGCTCTTCCCTTCCCACCCGGTGGTGGTCGGTCGGTTACGGTCAGGGTCCTTTTTCAACCGGCCGTTCTGGTCGAAAACTTGGCAACCCTAGGCCCCGCCCACTCCGTAGCCCTGCCCCTCCT